TGAAGAAGGGTCTAGGCCCGAAATGTCAGCTTTCCTGCTCCTCTGATGCTGCTTGGCCTGCTGTGTTTATCCAGCTCTACGCCTTGTTATCTCTAATAGTTATTTTGGTCAGTTTGTATCCCAGTGAAAGAACACACCTTCAAGAGGAAGAAGGGACAGAATATCCCAGTTCCTGAAAATTAATTTAAAGGTACTGTATTTGAATTCCTCATTATTTTCAGTGAGATGTAGGCAACTGAAGTTGTATCGACTATCACATGAAGAAAGCAAACCCTTATAGTAGGACTTTGCAAACTGTGGATCACAGCCACATTGGGTTTGTAGCTTTGAGGTGGCAGAGGCTACCATGGAGCCTGGACTTATTCCTGCCAGCTGTGAAGCCCCTTTAAATGTGTTAGTTTATTTTGTTATCGAGTGTGGACTACTTTTTGAGACCTGCTTTCTTCATCAACTTTCCTCTACTTAACTCCTATTCCCCTACAAGGGCAGCTTGGGCCAGTGACACCCAAGTCCGATAAACAAATTAAAAAAACCTACCCCAATAACTATGAAACCCCAATTTATTTTTATTTATTCACTTGTGGGATGCATTTATTGCCTGCCCTTATTTCTTGAGAAGGTGGTGAGCTGCCTTCTTCCACCGCTGTAGTCCATGTCCTGTAGGTTGACCCACAATGCCATTAAGGAGGGAATGCCATGATTTTGACCCAGCAACGGTGAGGGAACTGCGATATATTTCCAAGTCAAGTGGGTTGGAGGGGAGCTTGCAGGTGGTGGTGTTCCCATGTATCTGCTGCCTTTGTCCTTCAGATGGATATATTGTGGGTTTGGAAGGTGCTGTCTGAGGATCTTTGGCGAATTGCAGTGCGTCTTTTAGACTGTATACACTGCTGCTACTGTTGGTAGTGGAGGGAGTGGGTTTGTATGGTATGGTGCCAATCAAGTGTGCTGCTTTGTCCTGCATGCTGTCAAGCTTCTTGAATGTTGTTGGAGCTGCACCATCCAAACAAGCGGGAATATTCTATCATTGTCCTGACCTATTCCTTGTAGATGGACAGGCTCTAGGGAGTCAGGAGGTGAGTGTCAGGAGATGAGTTACTTGTTGCCGTATTTCTAGCCTCTGACCTGCTCTTGTAACCACTTTATTTATATGGTGAGTCCAGTCAAGTTTCTAGTCAATGGTAACCCCCCAGGATGTTTTGGTCCGTGATGTCTCGGATCGTGTCTTCAAGATCCTTAAGGGGGAGGGTGAGCAACCAGCAGTCATGGTACACATCGGTATCAATGACATAGGTAGAAAAAGGACTGAGAATGTGAAAAACGAGCACAGGGAGTTAGGTTGGAAGCTGAAGTCCAGGACAAATAGGGTAGTTATCTCTGGATTACTACGAGTATAATGTGATAACGAGGTGAGAAATAGGGAGAGAGTGCAGCTAAACACGTGGCTACAGAGCTGGTGTAGGAGAAAGGGCTTCCATTATGTGGATAATTGGAGCACATTGTGGGGAAGGTGGGACCTGTACAGTAAGGACAGGTTGCACCTGAACCGGAAGGGCACAAATACAGCTAGAGCTGTACGGGATGGTTTAAACTAGTTTGGCAGGGGGTGGGGAACCAGATTTATAATTCAGAGGATGAGGTATTCAGCCTTCCAACAGACACAACAGGGAGTGAGGTGATTTATAAAGAAATGCGGTCGATGGAGCGTAATTGCGGACGCTGAGATGGTTTGAGGTGTGTATACTTCACTGCTAGAAGTATCAGAAATAAAGCAGATGAACTTAGAGTATGGGTTGTTACTTGGAACTACAATGTTGTGGCCATTACAGAAACTTAGGTAACTCAGGGAGAGGAATGGATGTTGGAAGGATTCTATGGGAAGCCAGGGACGAGATCGCAGGGCCTTTGGCGATGATCTTTTCGTCCTCACTGTCCACGGGTATAGTGCCGGAAGATTGGAAAGAGGCAAACGTCATTCCCTTGTTCAAAAAAAGGAACAGGGATAACCCTGGAAATTACAGACCAGTTAGTCTTACGTCAGTGGTGGGCAAATTATTGGAAAGGGCTCTGACAGACAGGATTTATGATCACTCGGAAAAGCACA